GTCGCAAAACTATATAAGAATTGACTTGCTTAGACGGTCGAATCTACAGCTATCTACACTGACCGGCGACGCTTAAGCACATCCAAGTTATTGCAGACCTCACAGCCTCCATCATGCATTTCGTGCTCCTGGTCCTTTCGATCTTCGCACCACTAGTCAATACTTACAGCTCCTGTTATGACTAGAGTGTACTAGTTGGTTGCTTAGGCTACCCACGCCAATCTGGATCTCTCCACCACAGCCTCGCTGAATCGTTATGTCCCAGGTTCAATTCAGACCATATCGCACACGTTGGAAACCGTTGAGGACGGAGCTTTAATGGTAAGCCCAGACGGTGTCATGCGCAGCTTCTCCTCCAATGGTACAGTCATCGATTTTCATCAGGTAAGCCATCTCAGCCATTTCTCATTCCATTCAAGTGTTGTGCGTTACCATTGAAGGTGGAGGGGCAGGGGGAGGGGGCATAATCACGTTGCATTTAGCTGACTCATTGGACTCAACACGACAGCTCGATCCAACTCAACTACAAGAGTTTGCCGAAATCCAACTTCGTCAGTGGCAGAACATGGGCAAGGACATTCCTGCAACGGTTAGCAATTTAGCTAAAGCACCCTACACTGATGGACGCCAAGTCTTGGACAAAGACAAGCCTCTCAACCCCCCTGATGCACCATACCCGTTGCGCCATCTTGTGCCACGCGTGTCCCATTCGCATGCCCAGTTTCCACTGCATCTTCTTGACGAGAGACAACAATGCATTGGCTCACCCTGTCTCACTTTCGGTCAATGTGCAAGATATAGGCCTACTCCGTGCTACCAATGCTACTTCCCCGGAGGACCCGAGGGTGGTGCTTGTTTGCTGAGTTAGAGCACATATCAGGGGCCCGGATCATAAGAGGGATACCGACAAGGTGTGAGTGGGCATGGACGGACGAGCGTATGGTCACATTCTTTGATTACACTCTTTTAAACTTCTGCTTTTACTATTTTTCATTTGATTTCATCTGTAACAGACATTCGCTATTCGGTAGTTCAAATAAACTTCCATCCGCTCTCTCTCTCACTGTCTTCTTTAAGTAAATGATATGTGCCCTCATAACGCCTGCCAACTCGTCCTTCATCAATAAAGTAGCTCGCTAGGGCTTAGTTGGTGGTAAATCGTCGACCATCGCGAGTGAACTGTTAGGAAATCAAAGCCTCTCCCGCAGCTTTCCGTGTTATCGGTTTTCGGAGCAACACGAGTCCGACGACCCAGCAGATAGAGCCTGTTGCATTTGCGAGATGGAGATCCCTACCTTCATGTGTGGCGTGATCGGAACGTTGTCAACCTTGAAACATCTTAGAACGGTTAAAAAAAACGTCGCAAGTAGACAATAAGATGACGCATGGCTTGGAAGTGATCGACTCTCTGTTGTTGCTATCGTAATGAATGTTCAGATGCTCTGCCCCCTCCTACGAAACAATGCTCTAGGTATACTAGAACAACGACCTAACAGCGACTCGTTTAGATACTGAAACGAAAGTTATTAAGAATAATTCCTTGCCACAATCCTAAACGTACGACGCCGACCTCGTTCGTCCATTACACCACGTGTGCGGTGTTGGCCAACCCCTGGTAAACGTGTCATCTGCGGATGCCATATCAATCGATGATATCAGAACCCGAATTTGCGTATTAACTCATGAGCCCCATTCTTCGTGTTGCTCGCCAGAGGCTTGGGACTCCTGGTTCTTCAGTGCCTTCAACTTCTCGATAATACCCCCTTTCTTCTTCAGCTCGCTCAACGGCTCGGGCAAGATGCTTTTGTCGGGGTTGTACCAAGCTGATTTGGGGGTCTTGAATCCATCGACCCCATCCCATTCGGCAGTGAGGTATTTATCAACGTACTCTTTCGGCATCCTGGCGTGAAGCGCTGCGATGAGGCTCGGGCGGAGAGGCGCGGCGCCGATCACCTCGCGCTCGGCGGTGAGAGACCGCAGAATACCGTCCTTCCCCAATGAGATGACGCCATAAATGTCCATTTTGAAGCTGGTCACGATGGCGCTCAGTTCCTGTTGGTCGGGGTCTTCGCGTGACCAGGATCCGCAACTACGTTGGGCGGGTTGCTCTGACATGGCTGCAATCTGAAACGAATAGCTGCGGGGTAGAGAATAATAGTATCAAATCGTTGTTCGTGGCGTCTCCTGCTAGGAGTTTATTTGGGGAACTGAAGGATAAGTCGGGAAGTAAGCCCGGTTGGTTGTTGGGACGGGGTTCGGTGTGCTTTTATGTTGCGGCGCAGTGCTGCCTGGAACCTTCCCCGATATATAATCCCGGAATCCAATATGATTCGTTCACTGAGCCAACTGCATCTCCTGTTGTCAACAATGACGTACGAGCTCTCCCCTTTATTGGGCGACTGCAGGTCAATATTCATGCTATTCATGCCGGTGTAAAGTCCGGAAGGATTCACGGTTGGTTGTTGGGACGGGGTAAAGCGTGCTTTATTGTTGCGGTGCTGCTTGGAAGCTTCCCGGTGGAACTAATACCTCGAGGCTAAATGTAGGACGAATTTGGGCTCAAAGTTCCCTTGTGTTCTAATTCATGTCAAGTTTCAACCATTCGGACCTAACGCGCTACCTACCTAGGTTAGCCGTTGGCGGTCGCCAGCTAACAACCACGATGACTGATGATCTTGGAGAAGAGATAGTTACAGGGCCTCCCATTGGTAATGTTTCAAGAGACGACCATAATCCCAGGGCATAGCCATCTAGCCTTTTCCGAAAGGACTTATCACTGTGCATGGGTTGTTGGTCCTTTTCTGCGATTATTCGTACATAGTATTTGCTACGAGTATTATATGAACTCCAACCCAGAAATCATTGGGCCTGAACATCTGTGCAAAGTACAACCAGTACAACACGAGCTTTTGTCTGAGTCCGCACTCTTCATTTCGGAGGTTGCAGCTGTCAATATAGCTCTCTTCCTGCTCATACTTCCAAGCGCCCTCCCAATCGTCAAAACAAGATTCCACATACAACAGGAGGCCATTGGCCTCGGCATTGTTCGAATCAGCCTGGTTCTCCTTGCGACGGGTGGCATACTAATAGCATTTGCATCGGATATATGTGTTACTATTATCTGTGGGTTACGATTCTTTTCTTTTGTATATGGGATGGCACTAAAGACGATAGGTCTTGCTGTATTTGCAGCGGGCTTTGGCGTTCGCGTCGCTCTTCTCTCCTTCGCCACGCATTTGGTCAATCGCACGGCCCAAGGGCGTTTTTACGGTCTGATCCAAAATAATGAACAATGGAGTATACTGGCTACGCTGTTGCCACATAGGCGCTTCAAGGCGTTTGGGATATTAGCTTGGGACTCTCGAATAAATGGTTAAACCTACCTTTCCTTGTGGTAGCGATATAACCTGGTGCCAGTTGACATATACTAATAGGCTCGTAGATCATATTCGGTCTCGCATTAGGGGTTTCGTTTCTTCTGCGTACCCGACAGTCAATAGGCAACCTAGGTATACATTGAGATCAATATCAGAGCTGACTAGAGCCAAGTCGTCAAAACATAGTGCAGGTTAATGCGGTAGCGCGAGAGGATAGTGATAATTCTCTCCCTCGCCACAACTCATAGCTATTTCCCATGACGGAATCTTGATATCTAACAACCAGCTGGGGGCTAACTATAAAGCACCGTGGATCAGATAATACTATTGTGTTGCCCACCGCAGTTGCAGTTGTAGCTAGGGTTAATAAATTTAATATTAAATTTATACTAATTATCAACCCTGGTTGTAGCAGAGTTTTGTGGGAATCTAATACTATTTGTCAGGGACCTTGTACTAGGCAATAAACTTTTGTTGTTGCACGAAGGACTCTAAAACGGTATCGTGACCAATCCCTAGCTATATACAAGTGGCCTCTTTGTTCCTAGTGTCTCGTGACACTATTCAAGGGAAGTTCAATTCATGCAAAATCTACACGCAGAATGTCACACGGACCGAAGGGATTAGGACCAGGCCTGACCTAGGTCTAGCGAACTGCATATTCGTATGCATATTCGTGATTCTGTAAATAATCATATGATCGGGTGGCAAAGCCTATGGGTTGTGAAAGGCTTCCCGTCTTCTCCCGTTGCCTCCCGTATGTTCTGATCTAATTATCCGAGACAGCAATACGAGGGCGCGAAAGCAAGGGGAAGCCAGGGGACTGGCTTGGGTAAATCTATTCGCATATATAACCTGGAGTTCGCCCGCCTGGCTGAACAGGAGAACTAGACCTCCAGAGCCTCCTTGATCGCATAGATGGTTATTTGAATTTGAACAGTCTTCCAAGCTCTTGAAATCAAGCCCTTGCTTGTTACAACAATATTATATTAGGATTCTAGAAACTGGATATTAGTCCCTGCTTGCGGACATACCTTAATTGTCGATGATATATATCAGTTAATGCTATCAATGTCCCGCCAGCACCTTTTGGTTACTGTTGCTGTTACTGTTACATGCAATGCATAGGAGTGCAACCTTTCGATTAATGACCAAAACTTACATACAGGAATGGACTGGAGAAAGTCTGTCATTCAAGTGACCTAGCAGAATTGCGACCAAAAACCGGCACAACTATTCAAGATGATAGATAACCCGTCCAATCTAAACTTAGACATCCTTTATTAGTCGAGCGCAGCCCTGTATCAATGTATGCCTATCTAAAGTAGATTTGTTGGCTAGGAATGCGAGACTTTATATAAGGCTTCAGGTTTTAGCTTGCCCGTATTTGCCTGGTCTTTTAAACCAGCTTTATAAAAAGCAAAGAAATCTATAAATTTACCTACCACCTAGTTTAACCCTTGCTTGTTATACTAGCTTTTCTTTAAATGTTTTAATAATAAAACCCTTATGGATTATTTATTACTTGTTTAACATCTTTTTAACATATAATGCTAGCAACAAAAAAAACAAAAAAAAAAGAGGGGGAATGCCGGCTAGGTGTAAAACAACAGCAAAATAAAAGGGTCTGGCCGGGGATTGAACCCGGGACCTCTCGCATATTAAGCGTAGGGTGTACCCTAAGCGAGAATCATACCACTAGACCACCAGACCTTGTAGTCAACATTTGTTACCAAGTGTGACGTGCTACGACAACGACAGGACTCGAACCTGTGACCCCGAAGGGATATGATTTCTAGTCATACGCTTTAACCACTCAGCCACGTTGCCAACGCTTAATTTGTGTTGGGATGAAGGAGGGTTTGCGGAACGGAGTCATGTATGGAGCGCTTCCTGGTGGTGTTGCAAGGTAATGGCGCTAGGGTCGGTGCCAAGACGAAATTTGTTGTGGGTAGGGCCTTGGGTGGCTTCTTTCCGAGTTGTGGGAAAGATTCACTAGTGAACCTATCCACTTGATTATGTGAAAAACTATGCTGTAAAAACCAACATACACACTTTATTTTTAGCCATTTTAAAAAGCAATATTGGTTTAAAAAAAGGAATGCATAAATTGAATGTCTATAATATTAGAGAACATTATTTATACTACGTGGCTGACCATTGCGAGGAAAAAAGTTGAAAAAGAGGGGTTGCTACTCCTAGTGAACATAGGAGGCATCAGGAATTGAGCCCGATGCGGGGGTCGAACCTAGCGATATTATTGTTAGTCATCATTCACACATGAATATCTAGATATGCTACTCACCCGCAACCTTGAGATTAAGAGTCTCACGCTCTACCGATTGAGCTAACCGGGCGTTGTTGTGGGTTGTCAGTTGAAGATTCCGTTCATCAATAGGAGAGCTACCGATTAAGCTAGCTGGGCACGGTGACACGCTAGTGTTGGGCACAATGCGCTCCTTGTCCGACACTTATTCTAGTGTCTCCGAGAAATGGACCGTGCCTACGGGTTGTCTTAGGCCCAAGGTATCGGTAAGTTGGCATCTGAAGATGGCTGTGTCGCTTGGTGCTGGTAGGAAGGGATATTCGACCCGGTATGAAAGAGCCCGAGTACTGTCTGAGAAATGACGGGATGGGCCCAAGCTTTACTGCTAGGGGAGGTTGACAATTATATGGTTCCTCGTCACTTGAGGGCCAGAGGTGTTTGGTGTATGTTACAACAACGCCGCCGGATAATTCTCCGTGACACTCTTGCTACCACTGGATGTCCGGTTTAAACAACATCAGCAAGACGCGATAAATTCGGGAAACAGTCTTAGTATGCTTCTTGAGTTAAGCGTGAAATAGTGGCCTTGAAAGCATGTGTTATCTGAGTGGAAGGCATAGTCATTAATCTTGCAAGGTTGCAAGTTGGTTAGTTGCCTTAGTTTTGTTCACTGTCTTGTCAGTATCAGAAGGGTTGATTACAAGCCTAACAGGTAGACTCGTATACAATGTAACAGGGCTTGAAAAGATATTCGAATTATAATAATATTCTACGGAATCAAGGGCGCCACGAAGGACTTAGCTCCTATTTGGGAGATCTACAGCGTATAATATTTCTGAATAGCTTCGCTTCTCTTTGCTTAATTCGGACCCGCTCTCGCTCTCGTGTCTCCGTGTACTATATGAGATCAGGTGACTATAGATGAGCCGAAAGCCGAAGCCTCGTACGAAGTCTTGTGCTCGTATGACTTTATTCATGATTTAGTCTCAAATAATTATGACATGTATTTAGGTTGGTAGGTACTAAGAGAGTCCTAAACCTTCCCAAGATCTAAGGATGCGTATAACAAACGCATCTCTATAACAACTACAGAGTCGAAATGTACCCTCTGTTATAAGGAGATGATCTATAGCTGTTTGAAGGTTTCGTCGTTATTATACTACTATCTTATCTGGATCGGAGGGAATGTCTGTATAGTTATTAAGGGGGTTTCCTGTTGTTAATACGAATCTTTAATGCAATTTCGCTGACTTGGCCTTGATTCTCCTGATCCCTATAGATCAGAAACATCGTATTAAACACTGCGACTGCAATAAAAGGTCACCAAAATGTGATGGTACCTTGGCTGAAATTATATTCACTAGAACCCAGCTTTGATCTCTCCCTACGCTGATCTTCACTGTTCCATCGTTGGTCATACAATCCGTTTTAGCGGTCCTCGGCCGTAATACTCTTCTCGCACATTTCCAGCTCGCCATAGTACTTCTTGTGCTCCGGGGCATCAGCAAAGTTCTTGATGTAGGCAACTACGTTTGGCAGCTCCTTGCGAAACTCAGCATCAATCAGGTACTTGAATAGGTAATACATAATGCTGGTAACCATGAAGTCGGCCATTGTAAGCTGATCCCCAACGAGGTACTTCTTGCCGCCCTTTAGGGCAACTTCGAGGTACCTGACATCTCGCTTCAAGGCAGTGACATGGGTATTGAAGCGCTTCTCATCCAGCTCGTAGATTTTCACTGATTGTGTGGTATGTCAGTACTTTATTATCCACGAGTTCGATGCCGCGAGACTTTCCAACAAGTGGCGAAAAGTATCACTTACTGGCCGTCATAGCAATTGGGATGAACCCGTTGTTGAACAATTCGCCCTCGGCGAAAAATCCCCACTGTGTGATGAGGGCTTGTGTCTTAGCATCTATGAAACCGAGGATTAGTTTCGTTTAAAATTACGTAACAGCAAGCACCATACCTGTGCCGAGTAGTTGACCTGCTTTTGGGCCAGACTTTGCTATGTAAGTAGCGATGGCAACGCTCTCACTCAGGCAGAAGCCATCAGCGCCCTCAAAGGTTGGGACCTTGCCGAGCGCGAACTTGGACAAGAATTCCGGAGTTGTGTTCGTCTCACGCATGGTGAATGGCGGAATTTCTATCTCTAGGCCGTTCATGTCGGCCATAATCAACGCCTAGACCACATTATTAGCAAGTCACTGTTGCGGATGAATGGCCCGTTGTAGGAACAAGAGGAGAACAGAAATTCATCTTACACGATTGACGCGCAGGTTGTTAGGGTATGAGTAAATCTTGCCGAAGGGAGCCATGTTGAAGGAATTGTATGCACCTTGGCGTTGGCAGCGGTGGTTCTAGGTAAAGATAAGTAACGAGTTGAGGGAGATGTTGCGATATGGGGTAGTATGTTGCAATTGAGGGTGGTGTGAACTAGGCCGATAGAGACGACCCAAGACCCGGATCGCCCTCCTTTTAAGTTTGAATTCCGGCCAACGGAGCAGGATGTTGTCGGTATTCCATTTGTCAGCCACTACCTCTCATATCTCACACGATAGACCGCTAGATATCGGCTGTCGCCATACACCTTACCCATATGGGCTTACTTCCCCCCGTTGCCTTAGGTACGTTGCCCTACGGGCCTCTCTAGGCCAAGAAGCTGGCTGGGCGGTCCGAACATGAAACTTCAAGCCCTAAAAGCGTTTCTGTTTGATTTCTCCACTTCTGTTCCCTTTCTATTAGGTACCCGGGCACCTAGCCTACCTACCTAGCCTAGCCTAGTCTGGTCTAGCTACGTGTATGCACCTAAGTAGAGACTACAATGCTTTTGCTGTATGATGAGAGGTCAAAGACAGATAGATAGTTGCCGCTGTTCACCGTCTTGCACATATTGTCGCACTCCATTGTAGGGATGTCGGCTCTCTCTGCTGTATCACGATGCCGGAGACGAGGCTGCATAGAGCCGCGAACAAGGGTTCTCTACCAGTAGTGAACCCCGGAAGCCGAAGACAAGGATTACCTGAGACCGGGTATAACATCATATGTACCTAGGTATGCGACCCTACACTAATTCTTCGATTCCCCCCTGCGTTTCCCGCATGGCATTGCTATAACTGGTGCTGTGATGTTCCCGAAAAATTGCGGTAAGAATAACCTCTCCGTATTTGTAAGCTGAATATTCAGCGGATGGTTTGATACCAGAACCCCGGTCTCCGGATGCTGTGCTTAGGAGTGCGGCTGTATAGAAAGCCCGACAAAGCCTTGCTTTTATTACCAATCGGTTCCCTGTAAAATGCAAAGGCTGGGTGTTGTTAGGGACTTGCTGTGGAAATTAGTAACGAAGGGATTGAGTTGATGAATGTTGTTGCGTCAAGAGGGGATATAAATAAGTAGTAAGCTCAAAGGCACGCTTCGAACCCGGGCAATTCCTATCAATGCGACCGAGGGTTTCGACAGCTAAATGGGGAATATTGATAATACGTATAAGCTGGAGCATATATTCCTACAAAGTGCTTTGAATCGGCCTAGAGGCCAGTAGTTCAAATCGTAATAAAGCAAAATCACATCAGTTAAACCTCACCTAACTACCTACCTAGGTACTTACCTAAGGTACCTAGGTACATAGGTAAGTAGGTACCTACCTATGTAGGTAGGTACCTAGTAGGTGTCCCCACTTGCCGATGGCGGGATCCCACCAGCTCCATTTTTTTGGGTGGTGCGGGAACCTACATACCTATACCTCTACGGAGGCTTTTGTACATGATGCTTACCCCGTCCGAATAAGACCAGCTATTGAAAATGACGGTTATTGAGATTGATGTTGTTTCCGATTTCGTCTGCGCTGTAGGACTTGCTCTCACTCTACCAGACTCAGGCGGTTAAAGGTATTGACGATGCTTTTAGTGGTGCTACATCGGGAAGCGAAAACTAGAGAGCGCCATTGCCTTATACCAGAAAGTCTACCCAGGAGGAAAATACGACGTTTTCAGAATCAACTGGCGGCCATACTATCTGGGGTACAATATCTTCGGCTGTAGTGTCGAGAAGAGCGAGCTTGCTAAAGTCAAGTTGGCGGACTGGAGCGAAGAGAAGAAGGCGGCGGCTATGAAACGTGTGGAACAAGCAGGACGTGCCGTGGGAATTCACTTCAAACACGGCGGCAAGATCGGACCGCATACGCGAGACGCCCATCGCCTAGTATACCTCAGCCGCAGTAAATCACCCGAGATCACAAATGCTCTAGTTGAGAGGATATTCGAGGCGTACCACGAACTCGAGAAAGATATCTCGTCCCTCGATGTACTGAGCGAGATCGCGCTAGAAGCGGGCATGGACAAGGTCGAAGTTGACGGGTGGTTGAGCTCGAATGCTGCTGCTGACCATGTGGATGAAGAAGCGAAGGCATTTCGCGAGAAAGTAACGGGTTCTGGAGTCCCCTCTTACTTTATTCAGGGTCTTTATCGTCTTGACGGCGCTCAGGATGCAGACGATTTTATGGAGGCTTTTGTCAAAGTAAAGGAAGGCAAACAAGTGGACTAGGCTACGTGGTATGTGATTAAGCTACGTCATAAATCCGTAGCTACAAAAATAATGAGACAGCCACGTTTAGGCAAACTCCATGTACTGGAACTTAGACTCAGCTCGAAGAATCATGCTTTGACTATCATACTAGGTATAGTTATTGGTGTTGTACAGTAGAATGGAGTAAGTGACAAGACATCCACCATGAAGGGTCCTTACTACCTACCTTAGCGCCCCGGGGGGGGTGTAGGTAAGGGTTACTGCAACCATGTCGAAAATTGGAAAGCATGTCTACTGAACTGCCTTACTAAATTCTTACGGGGTATCCACCATGTCGACGTTCGAAACCATGTCGAGCGATCGATTCCATATCCATATACAAATTATATCCAAAATAAAAGCATATACAACTTTGTTGTAGTTACAAGGAATAGTAAGCCTTGCTGTAACCATGTCCGTTTGCTGTAACCATGTCCGTTAAATATAACGGAAATATAGCAGAAAAAAACAAAAGGGGGGGCCACCCGCTTCGCCGCAGCCAGGACTCGAACACTATACCTTACGG